TGTATAACATACAGTCATTAGGGCAAGCATGTATCTTCCTATATTCTAAACCCATCGGACAAGGTATCTTCTTTGCTTCATACATACGGTCCGACAAGGTGTTATTTTCTGGGAGCATCTCCTTCAAAAGTTGGAGTAATTCATTAAAACTTGTATCACTCCAACCAAATTTTGCTTTTAGATTGACCAATCTTAACACAGATGACAACCGTGTGAAAGTTGTACATCCAAGATACAAAGGTGTCTTTGAATCGGTCCTCAATGTATCGTATATAGATGCATGTGCTTCAAGAAAGCTCTCTTGACCCACATCACAAAGTATGTCCTCTATTCGATCTTCACAGGTCACATCATCCTCAATAGTTTGTGATACTGTTGGAATATCAACCACTTCACCGTGCCATGTCCATATGGTGTAATTCTTCATCATCCCATCGCAAATAAGATGTTCCCGCATTGTGTCCATCTCTTGTACTCTGCCATTTACACAATTAACGCATGGGCAATAGATTTTTCCATTCGTTTTGGGAGCATTTTTTTTTGACAAATTTCAAAAAGGAGTCAACTCCATTCTCATACTCTTCTGACATGCGACTTGCATTGACCCAACTTCGATCCATCTAACTACACAAAAGGGCTTGCCTAGATATTGAAGGTTTATTGGAAAAGGTTTAGCAAAACAATACAAAAAAAAAAGATAGCAAACAAGTTGCTCATAATGATAATCTGATTTCCCACGTAAAGAATGGGAAAATAACCCCAAAAACAGTCACAGTCAAACGTGTACATCTACATGAAAGAGTATATACCACTTCAAAACCGAAAACAAACTTCCAAAGCCTAAAGGAACCTAGATCAAATCAAACCATACAAAATCATTCATCATCTTTCCACTGTTCATATGCAGGAAATGCTCTAAATCATCCATATTTATGTTAAATGCATGTTGTAAATCATCCATACCACTTAATCTAACTTGATGAGAAGGGGTTTCCTTAGGGAAACGAGGGATACCACGCACACGGCAACAACGGCGATGCAACGACGTCTAAGAGCGCGGCGAGGAGCGGCTAGGGGGTGGCGAGGGGGCGGCGTTACCATATCAAACAAGGAACGAAGAAGAAGCAGAGAACTAAGGTAGCAGAGAACGAAGATGCAAGGCACTAAAGGGTGGGCTGATACAACACGACGATGAGGACTGAGGTAGCAGAGCACGAAGAAGAAGCAAAAGAAGAACTGCGCGCTTTCGAATTAGGTATAAAAAATATGTTAGGACATTCGACGTCGGTTATTCAAAAACCCGACGTGGATAATGCTTTCGACGTTGGGTAAATCATGGAACCGATGTTGATTTTAGGATTTCAACGTCGGTTATACATAACCGACGTTAAATTTAAACATTTAACGTCGTTTGTTATCTAACCGACATTATTTATCCATTCCTACGTCAGTTTTGTTATAACCGACGTTAAATATTGTTTCATAATTATAAGTGCCACCGCGTCTTGTACAACGTTGGTCTTCATAAAAACTGACGTCGAATTGTGTCGTAGTAAGTGTTTTTTGTAGTAGTGAGGGAAACCACAGCCACTGGCACAGGAACCACACCAACCAAGAAGAGCCCGGCAGCCACCTCCACCACCTCAGCAGCCATACTTTCAAAGAATGATGCAATACATGGAGCATTTAACATTACAACAATCAGCGACCCATAGGGGTCAATGCAACATTAATGAAAATTTTTATAACTTATCTTTGCAAATTGCTCCAGGTATGCAGTGGACGTCACCACAGGAATTCGATGCCTTACTTCAATGGTCTGGGGACAGTCCCTATTTTCCAGGAGGGGGTGAAGGTGCAATTGGTGCATAGGGAGCACAAGAAGAAGAGGAGGAATCACAGGAAGAAGATGAAGAAGAAGGAAGTGAAGAAGAAGATTAAGAGGGAGAAAATTTTACTTTTAAGTGATTTTTGTTATTTTGGTGTGTTTAAGTGAATTGGTTAATTTGATGTTTTAAGTTTTTTGTTTTAATTTGTTTTAAGTTGTTTTGTTTTGAATATTCTGAATTGACATTTAATGTGATGAATGTTTAAATTGATGTGATTAAATTGCTGCTCCATACAATTTGGATTAGAGCCAATTATGAAATTATTGTTTATTGTCCAATTCAAATCTGGAACTTGAAGAAAATCATTTTGATTGTTCCAATAACAAGTGATTTTGGGATATTGAGTATGATAGTGAAAAAGGAATTGACAGGGAGAAGTAGGAATTAACTGAATCGGAGAAGCTAGCCAAAAACCCAAGTGAGAAGTGAACCAAAAACAGATAAATTGAGTGTCAACACTTTGTGATGATAATTGGTATTGATTGATTCTTTGATGTGATTACGTGTTAGTAAGACTTGAAAATGATAAAGACATTTTTTTATTTGTAGTAGATATAACCCAGAGCCAAATAGCCAACCCTGCATTAATTATAGAACATCCATTTGAACCCCTTCCGAGCCAAAAACAATATTGTTTCTTAAACAGAACCCTGAGCCTAAAAACTATTTATCTACCTTCCTATATTTGAGAAAAGAAATGAGTATGAATGTTTTTATTTTTCCTATTGTTGGGTATTGCTATTGTTGTCCTACGGGTATTATTGGGGTGTTATTCTTAAAAAAAAAGGTGTAAAGGAAAAGGAAAAGCAAAGCTTAAAAATTGTGGCAAAGCCAGAAAGGATAAAGGAAAAAGCATGAGGAAAAAAAAAGTCAAAAAGGGGGGAATAATAACTTGTAAGATTATTAACTCACTATCATTATGTTAGGGACAAAAGCATGAAGTTTGAAACCTGACTTGAGGAAATGTTAAACAGGAATCATTCAGAAAAACCAATGATTCTTTCTTAGCCTAGCCTCATTACAAGCCTCAAAAGACCTTTTGATTTAAGTCTTGCTTAACAAATGTTGATTGCTTAAAGATAATTATCAATATTGGATTATCTAAATAAAGTGATTGAATGAGATAAACACTTACCCGTGAGAGTTAGAGATGATTATATATAACTCTATTTGAGAGATCACGCTTCTTTGAGGATAGTTGAGGACTAATTATTCTTTGTTAGTTTCTGTAAATTGAATGCTTATGTATTCTATTTTCATTTGGAGTTGTGAGCATCACATCTGAAAATTTTTATGTTGTGGTTCTGGAAGAGAAAGTGATAATAGGAGATGGTTTTGTTTTGGAAAAATTACTTTGCTTGGGACAAGTAAGATTCTAAGTTGGGAGGAGTTGTTAAGTGGTAAAAATTTGATATAATTATGCCTTGAATTGTTATGAAACCATTTAACTTATGTTAATTCTAATCTATTTTTCTCCCAATATAGGATGAATTCGAGAATACCTTGATACAAGAGTAAGGAGCATAATTGTCAGCATAATTGTAGTAAAACTGGAAGAAGGAAGAAGATTTGCAGCATGGAAGTCGCTCGAGCGAGATGGACTCTCGTTTGAGCGAATATCAGTTATTCTTCTCTGGAAGTCAGTCGCTCAAGCGCAAGAAAGTTTGCTTTAGCGAATGTTAGTTATTCTTCTCTGGAGTTCACTCGCTCAAGCGAGCATTTTGTCGCTTGAGTGAAAATAGGAAACTTTCGCTTGAGCGAAAGTTGTCGCTTGAGCGAAAGACGCGAGGCCCAATTTTCCTATAAAAAGATAATATGTGTTTTGAGGAAAACAAAACGATTTTGGGGAGAAGAGGCGCGACTACTGCTAGGGTTTCATCCAATTTTCATCAATTCTTCACTTTTTCCTCATTTGGAGCATTGTAATGGCCAACATGAGTGACTAACTTCATTCTCTTGGGATTTGGTGCACTTCCTTTAAACTCTTTTATATCATGGTGATATTTTGAGATATTAATCTATGTTTTGATGTTGTTATTCTTATCCTTTGTGTTTTTGAATGATTTATTCTTGATGTTTGGGATATGATTGGAAAATATATCTTGAACCCTAGATCACGGTAAAAATATTTGTTATGTTAATTGTCAAGAATGGAATGAATATATCAATTGCTTAATACCCTAAACCTAATGCTAGAAAATCTCTTAATTGTATGAGAAATCAACATTTGTTAGGTTTTCTTATGAATTTCATGTGTGAGGAATCAACATGGATGATATGAGTAGATGACATCAACATTGATAGGTTAATTGACGTTCTTAATTGACATAGTCATTACAAAAGAGGGATAAGGAAGGAAGTCAATCTTAAGTGTTTTTAATTGATCTTTTCTCAACAATTTAACGTTCTTTGTCATTTAATTTCAATTCAACTCTTTATGCAAAATCCAAGTTGTTTTAATTCACTTAATAAGCATATAATTGAGAATTTTCATTGAAACCATTCTTCGTGAAAATGATTTTTATTTAATCGAAATACTATACTACAATTGATAATTTTGGTACGCTTATCAATAATCCAACTGCCCTTCAATCAAGTTGAGAATCAAGTTACGTCCTTATCCAAAACTCATGATAAAGTTAGATTAATCTAAGATTTCGAAATCTTAAAAACACTATTTTGAAGAAGTTCCATTTTACCTGAATATATAATGTAGTTAGTTCCTCTTAGGAAATAAGTTATCAATGTATTTGATTACATTCAATAGTTAAAAGATGTATCAACATTAATAATCCCTGTTCTTATTCTTCTTATTCGTGTCAAAAAAAAAAAATTTTAAAGCAATCTTATGTTGCTTCTATTAATTGGTGTCTCGTTATGATTTTCACCGCATAAGAAAGAAGTAACATAAATGTCCACATTATTTCTAATTTCTAAGCACACACTAAAACTATAGCTTCTAAAACTTGAAGTCAAAATGTGGGTCTGGAAGTGTTTGCAAGCACGTTAGTTGTGCATTTTAAACGTGATTTTTCACTGTAAGAAGTCCTGAGTTATAGTACTTTTCTCATGAAATATAAAAGCACGTGATTAACTTCTCTCGTCGAAAAACTAACAATACAAAATTCTTTGCCGTGAGAGGGAGGAACCAGTAAATCCATTCTGGGTGAAATCTACTATAATGTTTACGAGTGAACGCGCTTTCTTCGACGCGTGCGGAGTACCGCCCGTTATAAGCGAATAAAGCGAGGGCATACACGAAGCTTCCTTCACCAGAGCCCGAATCGCTTCTTCACCGAGATTAACACACAGAGCCAGCAAAATGGAAACACAGTATTCCTCCTCTGCGCGCGATGTAGCAGATTGCAAAATCCCACTCACCAAAGGCAACGCTTCCGCTTTAAACACCGCATAAGCACCGTCCGTACTCTCCGCCAGCGCCACCAGAACCGCTAACGAATCGGTTACAGCTTCGGGTTTATCGGAAGAAGCCACCACATTAACAAGCGCAGGAACTGCACCCGCCGCCACCACCTTCGCGTGGTTCTCGCGCCGCAGAAGAAGCGCAAAAATCGCAATCACCGCATTCGAGTTGTTCTTTTTTCCAAACGTTGTGCCTTCCTTCACCATCGCCACCAGCGCTGGAATCGCGTTCGGGGTTTCGCCTATTAATTTGCGGTACTCCTTCGCGGAGGAAAGGTAGAATATGATATCGGCTGCCACGTGGCGCGCTTCTAGGCTAAGCCCTCGTCTGAGAACGTTGAGAATCGGCGCCAACCCTCTACTCTCGATTATCACTTCCTGGCCTCTGTGATGCTTCGAGAGCTTCATGAGAGCGTGAATCGCGTTCTCTTGAATGATTCTCCCATGCCCCGTGAGAAGATCCAACAATGGCGGCACAGTTCCCATTTCCACCAAACACACCTTGTAAAAAACATTGGACTTCGCGAGTAAACGAATTTCATAGGTAGCTTTGGTTATCTGTTCCTCAGTTCCAAACACAAGCCTCCGGGAGATAAACCAAGACAAAAACTGAATGGCATGTGCCGCGGCGGGTACAGAACTAGTCCTGGTTTTGTTTAGATTTATCCGATTAAAGACAACGGCTACGCCATTGTCGTAACAGAACTGTTGGATAAGCTTTTTGAGCGCTATGTTGGGGAGAAGTTCCGTGTTGACGAGACTCTCTTGTGTTTTGGGGCATTTGATGTTTCCTGATTTCAGCCATTTCTGAATGGAGGTTCGGTTGTAGGTCTGACCAGTGGATATGGTTACAGGATCAGTCATTATCTCAAACGAAATCGGGCACAGGAAATCTCGTGGCACTACGCAACTTAACTTTTCTACACTGCACTTTGCTCGGGATTGTTCCATTGCAAGACATTGGAAATCAATAGTTTCAAACAGGACCACTCTAGAGTAATGCAAGAACCCTATTAAATTGCTCAACAAACTAACCTCTTCTTCATTGTAGCTCAATTCTTCTTCGAGAAATTTCACCTCTTCGTTGCAAGAACTCCAATTTTTTATCTCCAGGTAGTTGATTACCACCTTCACAGTGTCCACGTCAGGCTCAATTCCTCTCTCGAGCCGATCGAGAATTAAACGAAGTCGTTTCAGTTCACGCTCATCGTTTTCGTGGAGTTCCATTTTCCCTCTCTTGGTTTGCTTTGTTACCAACTCCACTAGGTCTTTCACTTCGGCGCTTATATCCATGCTGCGAAGGGGTAGCACGTGGAGGGTGGTGGCCAATGCGCGAATGAGAACTCGGAACTGCGTGACGATGTATTGAGATTTCATCAGCACCCAGATGCGCGCGTCTTCGCGAGAACAATCATGCATCAAGAGAAGGATCTTCTGAAAGGTAAGGTGGAGATCCGACAAGCAGAGACGGATCGGGTCGGGTATAAATGACCCGCGATCGTGGAGCTCCTCCAAGAGCGCCAGGAGAATGGCGATGAAACGCGTCGTTTCTCTGGCGTTTTTGCGTTGCGTGGTAAAGGAATTAGGGCTGAAGCTGCATATGTTTTGGGCGAGCGTGATAAGCGAGGCTATGAGGACGGAGGGTGATATCGCCACGCAGGGGCGAACCGAAGGTAACGACAGGAAACGGCGTCGTTCCATTGGAATATTTTTTTCAGGAGCCATTGTTTTTTTTCTTGGTTCAGAGAATGAGAATTCTGTAACAGAGTATCCGAGAGCCCGAGTAAGGTTATATGGAGAATGAATTGATTCAAACACCTGGCTCTGTGTAACTGAAAGTATATAGAGATTAATTAATAAATTAATTAAAGTTTGTTTCAGTTTATAGTCAAAGGTGATTTAGAAATAGATTATACATTTTAGCAATATAAATTATAGTTTGGGACTGACTCAACTTCTTTAATTTTTTTCACTTATATATATATATGTATTTAATTTTTTTTCTATAGTTGAATTTAATTTAATGTTTATTGCACAAATTACATATCAAGATGAGCTTTTCTTTTAATTTGAAAAAAAAAATTCAAAGCATCACAGGCAGTTGTTATGTACTTATGATTATTGATCCATGATTTAATTAATTAAAATTTATGAAAAATCAGTAAATTTAATAAGCTTAATGATTTATTTAATTATTTTTATCTGAATATCTTATCCTTTTTATTTGTGTTACTTAAATGGATAATTTTATTGGGGTGGTGCCCTACAGTGAGCTCAATAGTGGCAACTAAGATGCTCCGTGGGAACATCAAAACCGACCTTAACGTGGGCGTATCATCTTGCGACATGTGGCACTTTGGGATGAAAGACAAGTCTGTTTGAAGCAACGAATGAGATTTGTTCAATTTATTTATTTTATTTTTATAATAACTAAATTTTAGGGTTCGGAAAAACATTTTAAATTTTAAGGAAAAAAAACTTTAATAACGCGAACTCAATTCCAATTTCTTAAATAAAAAATATAATTAAGAGATCAGTAAAAGTAACTAGTCATATCCTTGTCAAATATGTGAAGTGATATAATTATTGATTAAGCCCATAAAAATGCCAAATAATATTAATTATATGAAGAAAAATAGTTTTAGACGCATAAAATATTAAAATTTCCGTGGGTTCAAGGTTTGTGAACACATTTATTGAATAAACTTGATATCTTATTTAATGATATGCTAGAATTTAATTTGTGAAATTAATATTTTTAAACAATCATTGAATTTATAATTACAACTATTTCATTGTGTTATATTTAATGAATTTAAATAGTATATTTTATTTGAATTTAAAGAACGTAATATAATATTTTAAAGATAAAAAAAAACGCGATTTAATTTACATGATAACAATAGGTAACACAATCTATTTTAATATTATGAACTAAATTACAATTGAGAGCGAGAATCTCGTACTCCTCATTTTATATTTAACATTTTTCTTTCTTTCTACGAAAGTTTACAAACTAATCTCGTACCTAAATAATAATAATAATAATAATAATAATAATAATAATAATAATATTATTATTATTATTATTATTATTATTATTATTAATAAAATCATTCTTCATAAGATTTAATTATATTTTTCTCTTGAGTTAAATAATTCGTCCGTTCCTCAAACTAAATAAAATTATTTAATTTTTAAATTTAGTAAAATATGATTTTATTCTTTAAACACGAAAATTAAAATATTTAAATAGTTTTAAAAATTATTTTAATTTATTTATAGATTTTTTTAAATTTTCATTCATTACGCGATTCTCAGAACTAAATACTGAATACTAAAAAGGACAAAAAGAACAGAAAGGAAAGAATTGTACGAGAAGATTGTAGATCCAATTTATCTTCGACCTTGCAAGAACATAATTGACATTTACCGTGGGGCCCGAACCCACAACCACAAGGTCATTATGTCCTTGTAAGATCGACACAACTTGGGTCCTCAGCCTTCTCGTACAATTCTCTTATTTCTGCTCTCTTTGGTCCTTTTAGTATCCGGTATTTGGTTCTCGAAGTCGCGTGATGTATGGAGAAACCTACAAGAAAAACACTTCGATGTTCAAGTTAGTAAGAACATAATATATTGATAAGTGTGTACTTTTTGTGTGGAAAAGATCATATTACCTATCGTGTTTGGTAATGTTTATATGACTATAACCGAGTGGTATAATTTCGGCTCCCAAATATGGGACTATATTGATAGTTATCGATATAGTATAATATTATTATTATTTTTTTAATTTAATAAAAAAATATAGCTCTCGTTAGTTTGAATTATTTGGTTTTTTCATTGATTAAACCGGAACCAAGGTGAATATAAACATAATGAGATTTTTTAATAGGATACTATATTGATTTTTTTAACAATCAACTGTTGACAATTTTTGGTCATGTATATATATGATATATAATTTAAATGTGTTAGTGTCATTATTTATTAAGTCAAATAAAATAAGATTAAGAATTTTATCTTGGAGGAAGAATCAGTAACAATTCCGAAGCCGATTCAAACGAGTTACTTTTGATAAAGTAATTTCGGAACCTCCACAAGACATTGTTAATGAACCCCTTACTCAAGATGATTTGATTGTTCATAAAGAACAAACTCAAGATCCTCAAGAACCTGTGCATCATGAGCCAATAACTTTGCGGAGATCCATTAGAGAAAGAAGAATGGTCCCCTTCTGAGAGCACGTAGACAGAACGTAAGTTTCATTCCTGTTCCTTTCTTTCTATCCCCATCAAGAGAGAAAATCAAGAGGAAAATACATGTGCTCTTCAGGTGGAAGATCATAAGATCAGTATAGTCTACAAAGACATCATCATTATGGCTAAGTCAGGTACGCTTTCGCATTCAGTTTACAGCATGTTTATCAGTATGGGATTATATTTATGTTTGATCGTTATAATCAAAATCAGGATTATTATTATTATTATTAAATTTCCAACAATTGGTATTAGAGTCGTCTATACTTGATTCATGTCTGTTTAATTTATAGAACCCTAATTATGAAAATTAGGATTAATTTTGTTTTAAACAATTCAAATTATCCAATTTTATGAACCCTAAGTGGAGAATAATCTCCAATTTTCGTGAACCCTAAAATTTAAATTTGGGGGTAACATCCCCAATCTGCTTGCTGATGGAACCGTGGAGGAAGCTATAGATTCTTCTTCTTCTTCGTTTTTCCCTTTTATTTCGGTTTAAGTTTCAAGTTTTACTGAGAAAGAAATAATGTTTCAAATTTCAATCTTTCTTGTATTGGGTTCTCTGTTCTTTTTTGAATCTTTTGTTTTTATTTAATTTTATGGGTTTGGAATTGGGGGTGGTGTTTGTGGAGTTCCCAACACAGAGAATCTTAGGTAAATGGTGAATGTCTCCACAGGTGTGACTGTTCTTATTTTTAGGAAAATTTGATGTTAAATTTCCTGTTTAGGGTTTGAGTGATTACTTTTTAATCCCTTTTAGGGTTTAGAGCAGTGTGTTAAAGAGACTCAGAACTATCTCTGTTTCATCCCTAGTATGATTTTAGGGAGATGTTCATCCTTTATGTATTGGTGGAAAATGAGGTCTTTTCATCCTTTAAGTTGTTCAAAGGAGGTGTTCATCCCTAATGAGATTCTAGGGACGTTTTCATCCTTAGTGGAATTCTAATGAGGTAATTATCTTTTGAATTAGTTTGCAAATATTAAATATTTGGTTTTGTTATATAAATAAAATATTCAATTTTTGGTAGTTTAATATTTTTTGTGAGCAAATTGAGTCAAGAAGTCACCAAAGTAACTTCTCTTGAATTGGGCAGTTCATGAAAAATATTGAATGTTAGTGTTTGTGTATATTCATGCGAGTATTAGTCGGTCCAAAGGAAGATTAATATTTGGCCGAATTGCATACACACTTGTAATGATAAACATGTGATAATTATAAGGATTTGTTTTGTTGATGATAAATAAATCCAAAGACTGGTTTGTTGTTGGACGTGCTTTATTGTCAATGTTTGATTATTACAACAAGATACCTCTAGCAGTTAATATTACTGTCCAAATACTTGATATTGATGGTGCATTGGGTGTCTTGAGATGGGTTAAACCATTATTTGAATATATATTTATAATTATTTAATTTTTATATAATGTGAGTATAATTAGTTTATTTCTCGTGTTCTAAATTCAGCTACAATTGCTTCTGTATCTACCAATTTAAATTTTGTTCCAATCCTTAAAAGTATGTTTCCTACTTTGGTACTGTTCGAAGTCAATTTATCGTTAGTACCTAGTAACACTTGGTGATTAGACTCAGGTGCAACTACTAACATCAGTGTTTCTATGAAGGGTTGCCTAAGCTACCGGAAGCCAATTGATTCTTAAAAAAAATGGATATATGTTGGAGATGGAAAATCGGTAGAGGTGGAAGCTATAGGGCATTTTAAATTGTTATTGAGTACTGGTTTTTATTTGGATTTGAAAGAAACTTTTGTTGTGCCGTCATTTAGACGAAATTTAGTTTCAGTTTGTTATTTGGACAAATTAGGTTATTTGTGTTCATTTGGAAACAATAAGTTCAGTTTATCTTTTAACTCAGATATTGTTGAAACTGGTTCACTTTTGGCTTATGATAATCAGTATTTACTTGATATTGTGACCACCTATAATGAAACCCTTAATACAGAATCACGTGGTACTAAACGTAAAATTGAAAATACTCACTCAGGTACATTATGGCACAAGTGCTCAGGTCATAATTGAATCGTGACGTTTGGGCTTGTGATACACTCTTAAAGATATGGTAAAGAGTATGATTTGTCATTCCACCTTACTGGAATCACTTTGGGGAGATGCACTAAATACGACAGCTTATATTCTAAACAGAGTACCAATTAAAGCAGCTACCAAAACACCTTATGAGCTTTGGACTGGGCGACAACCTAGTCTGAAACATTTTTATGTGTGGGGTTGTCCAGCTAAGGCAAGGCCTTATAAGCCAAATGAAAAGAAATTGAACTCCTGAACAGTAAGTAGTTATTTTATTGGTTATGCTGAAAGATCCAGGGGATATAAATTTTATGATCCCACATTAAAGACAATTTTTGAGATGGGAACTACTACGTTCTTTGAGGATATTGAGTTTGGGGGGAAGAATAAGATTAAGAACTTTATCTTGGAGGAAGA